CTCATAGCAACCTCAAACTCATGGGCTCAAGCAATCCTACTGCCAAAGCCTCCCAAGTAGCTAGGACTACAGGCATGTGCCACCATGTCCGGCTAATTTTTATATATATATATATATATATATATTAGTTGGCCAATTAATTTCTTTCTATTTATAGTAGAGACGGGTCTCGCTCTTGCTCAGGCTGATTTTGAACTCCTGACCTTGAGCAATCCTCCCGCCTCGGCCTCCCAGAGTGTAGGATTATAGGCATGAGCAACTGCGACCAGCCTAAACAGTCTTTGTTCTTGACTATTTTCTCCTTATTTTTCTCTTTCAAGAATAAAGGAAATTTCACTCAATTTTATGCTCATATCATGTAAAAACATCTCTATCAGTGCTATCGGATTTTAAAGTCTTTAAGAAGTCTTTTTTAAAATTATGAAAATTTCTAGGGTTTTAAAAAAAGTACAAATAATATTGCAAAGCCTATTACATAGCTTAAGGAATAAAGCAGTATAAATGCACTTGAAGCTCCCTGTCGAGCTTTCCTTATCCATTCCTTTGATAATCAATATCCTAATTTCACTATTTATCACTTCCATGCATCTGTCTTTGCTTTTAGTACATATATATAGTGATAAAAAATAATCAACAAGTAACGCATTGTTTGTGTTTTGCCACGTGGTCCCTGTTGTAACTGCTGTTGTAATGTGAAAGCAGCCCCAGACCATATGCAAACAAATGAACAAGGCTGAGTTCCTATAAAACTTTACAAAAAGATGTGGCAGACCACACTTGACCCATTTGCTGACCTCTGCTTTATATAAATGGTATCATATTGCATCTATACTTCCTCAACTTGCTTTTTATCATCCAAAATTATGCTTCTGAGATTTATCTATGTTGTCACATACAGCTATAGTTCCCTTAATTCAAACAATGCTACTTTGAACTGACAAAGATTCTTTGCTTGACCAAACTTTAGTCAGGTTTCTGAAACTTCTCCTAGGTCTATCTGTGTACTTCCTTGTAAAGCCCAGGTTTAGGAAAGAACCCTACAGAGTAAGTTTATTAATAACCCCCCATCTTCAATATCTGGTCACACTTGATGTCTGATCAAGTTCTTCATCATTCATTCACCATCCTGCTGGTGATGTCTGATCACTGTAGTCTGCCTTCAGCAATAATCCTGTTGGGTTGGTTTAGCCAGAACTGCCCTTACCCCTGATGTTTATTTCTCTTAGTAATTTTCTATCTACTGCCCCCCACCCTGATCCTTTACTATAAATTCCCACATGCCCAAGCTATATTAGCAATTGAGCCAAATCCCTCTCTCCCACTGCAAAATCCCATTGCAGTGATCCCTACACCTGTCATGACATTCCTAAATAAAGCTTTCCTTACTGTTGTACCACATTACATACTATCATATATACTTGGAATTGGCAATCTTTGAGATTTCTGTACCAACTCTATGGAGGTGAAATGGTATCTCATTATCATACTAACACACACCTTAACACTAGCAAGGTGAAGAATCTTTTCATGTATTAATTGGTTACTAAGCCTTCATCTTTCATGAGTTCCCTGCCATATTTTACTGATTTATTTGTCTTATTCTTTCTGATGCATAGTTTTTTATTTATCCTGGACACTAACCTTTGTTGCCTGTATGCACTACAGTCATGACTTCCTTTTTCACATGCTTTTGATGTATTCATGTACATAGATTTTAAATTTTCACATAGTCAAATTTATTAGTCTTTCTCTTTATGGTTTGTATTTGTTGAACTTTAAGAACTTATTCTGTACCCCAAAGTCATAAATATATTTTCTATACTCATGTCTTTAGATTTCTACATCATAAGATAAATCAAATCCCATGTAGATTAAAAATATGGATAATCAATTGTTCCAGCACTATTTGTTGACATATCCACTTTCTCTCACTGATCTGTAAGGCTGCCTCTATCATATCACATGAGGCAGCACTGTATGTACACATCTACTGTTGTCCTGTTCCAGTGACCTATTTCTTTGCTGAAAAAAAAAAACAACTATCACTATTACTTACAACAGTCCACCTCCCCTTCTTTATTTTTTGAGACATGGTCACATTCTGTCACCCAGGCTGGAGTGCAGTGTCATCACTACAGATCCCTATAACCTTAAACTCCTGGGGGAAACGGGCTCAAGCAATCCTCCTGCCTCAGCCTCCCACATAGCTGGGACTACAGGCATGCACCACCATGCCCAGCTAATCTTTCTATTTTTTGTAGAGACAGGGTCTCACTATGTTGCCTAGGCTGGTCTCAAACTCCTGGCCTCAAGCGATCCTCCTGCCTTGGCTTCCCAAAGTGCTAGGATTACAGGTGTGAGCCACCAAACCTGGCCACCTCCCCTTTTGATCTTCAAAATTGCCTTTGTTATTTTTGCTCTTCCTTATAAATTTTAGATTCACTCTGTTGAATTTTCATTTTTAAATTTTTGTAACTTTTAATGAAATCACATTGAATTTTATGAACGAGTATCAAACAGGATTTTAACAGGTGGTTTTAAAGAAAGCTTTAGGGAGATTAAGATTCAGATGATACTTTTTGAAAAACAGATTTAAGCTTCCTTATTTTGTAAAATATGTTTTTGCTGCTGTAAAATATTTCCTTGTAGTAGGTAAAACATTTGAGATGAAGTAGCTGGTTATTTGGACTCAATAAGTCATTGACAGCTATTATTTAGAGCTGGTATAGTGGTAAAATGAGCTCCTAATTTTCCATTCATGGCACTGATTGCCATAGGGCTTAATATTCTTTATTATCTTTAGCTTCTACTTCTTTTTCTTTCTTTTTTAAAGAAAGTGACATCATCATAGCTCACTACAACCTCAAACTCCTAAGTTCAAGCGATCCTCCTGCCTCAGCCTCCAGAGTAGCTGGGACTACAGGCCCACGCCACAACACCCAGCTAATTTTTCTATTTTTAGTAGAGATGGGTCTCATTCTTGCTTAGGCTGATCTCAAACTCCTGAGCTCAAGGGATCCTCGCACCTCAGCCTCCCAGAGTGCTAGGATTACAGGTGTGAGACACTGTGCCAGGTCCCTATTTTCTTTCAATTAGTTTCCCAAACTGCTATTCCATGGTGCTTTTTTTTACAGATGTTATTAATAGCCATGTCTGGGAAAAGAAGTTATAAATTCAAATAAATTTTTAAACTGACATGTAATATAGCTCTTACTTGGAGTTTATAATGTACTTTAGTGTAGAAGATTCTGAGTAGTATCACAGTAAATAAATATGTCTAATTTTGTTTAACTTACCATTTCACAAACTTTTTTGTATATAAACATTTCTTGACATACTGATTAATATCCTACAGAAGAGTGTTCTGAGGGGCATTAATTTGGGAAATGGTATGTTTAAACTAATAAGGTTAAGAAGAACTTAGATATTTCTGACTTCCATATTGATCAATTAGCAGCACGCAAATTAAAAAAAAAATCCACATCAAAACAAAGTAATTTAAAAAACATTCAGCAAGCCTCTTAAGAATGGTTAAATAGGCCGGGCACGGTGGCTTATGTCTGTAATCCTAGCACTCTGAGAAGCCAAGGTGGGAGGATTGCTTGAGCTCAGGAGTTTGAGATCAGCCTGAGTAAGAGCAAGACTCCTTTTCTACTAACAATAGAAAAATTAGACGGGAGCAGTGGCACACCTGTAGTTCCAGCCACTTGGGAGGCTGAGGCAGGAGGATCGCTTGAGTCCAGGAGTTTGACGTTGCAGTGAGCTATGATCATGCCATTGCATTCCAGCCTAGGCAACAGAGCAAGATTTTGTCTCAAAAAATTTTTTTAAAAAAATGCTTAAACAGTGTTTTTTCGAAGTGTTTAGCTTAGAGTCTTAGTGTTGGACTATATACGATAAAACTTTTCCTTTAACTTGACAAAAATTATGCTTTCCTTCTAATTTCAGCACTGAAATGAAAGAACATGCAGATGTCCCAAACTTATTCACCTCTCATATAAAAGCTATAGGATTGTTTGGCCTGTAAAAACACAAACAAGAAAAACGCATTTCTCTTATCCTTGCTGGGCTCTGAGCCCATTATTCTTATTGCCGAGTGGCCTGAGGAGAAACAAAAACCATAGCAAAATTAAGTGACTTTTTGTTTATATTTTCTTCCTTCTGTCTGTTGATGCAGCAGGTATTAATCAGCTTGATGCACTGCTAGCCTGGCAGGGTAGCCCTGCTCAGCTGAGGATGGCAGGAGAAGAATAGGTCACTGCCAATCTCAGCAAACACCCTGGACAGAAAACAATGGCCTTTCCCTGAAAGAACATTTCTCCTTTCTTATAGGGCATTACTTCTTGCTGCTGTGACAAATATATCTAGTAACAGTCATGGGCAAGCTTTTGAGAGTCAGGTTCTTTGCAATTTGCAAGCAAAAAATATTAATATTTCCCTTCCTCTCCTCGAAATACAGTTGGCATTCATTTATTCAACAAACATTTATTAAGTGCTTGTTCTGGACTAGGCACTCTAAGTGCCAGGGTTACCAAGACTAGTAGCACAATCCTAGAGAATTCAACAGTATAAATTAGAGATTAAATTATAGTCAGAATACTTTCTGAATACCCTCAAGAGTACCACAGTATTGCCTGAAATATAACTGTGAAGACTTGGAACTTGACTTTAGGGCACATAAGACTCTCAGAGACTGAGATTGTAAATCCAAAACAATGGACGCTCCATGAAGCTGTAGATCTTTCCTTGTTTAATATTGTATCCTGAGCCAGAATATAGATTCTCAAGTTATGCTGATTGGCTATTAGTGAGCAAGGGGCTGGAGCCATCTAAAATAATGACTTGCATGAATCTTCTCTATTTTTAACTAGCTTGTTTAGCTTTTCCTTAATAGCATTCCTTCATAGAGTAGCCCATTCCATCTTTGACTTTTTGACCAGCTATGTCATAAAATTCTTCCTCTCATTAGGCAGAAATCCATCCCCCTCAGTTTCACTCACAAATGTGCATTCTGCCCTCTGGGACACCCAGGAACACATATAACAGTTCTTATCTTGAAATTTTCAAGTCTACAGAAAAGTTGAAGAAACAGTAAAATTAACACCTAATACCTTTCATCTGTTCACCAATTATTAATGTTTTCCCACATTCACTTCTTTATCACTCACGTTGTGTTTTTCCCCCCTGAATTATTTGAGATTCAGTTGCAAACATAAAACAACATCATCTCTAACACTTTGGTGCCTATCTCCTAAGAATCACATTCTCCCACATAATAAAGTTCCTACTCTACACCTAAAAAAAAGTAATGTTAATAAAATATTACCTAAAATCAAATCCATATTTAAATTTTCCTAATTGTCCCCTCAAATTTTTTTCTCTGTACTTTAATGGATGCAAATCCACTTTTTTTTTTTAATTTGGGATTTTTTAATTCTAGATTTTTTGTTTGTTTGTTTTTAGAGACAGGATCTCGCTCTGTCACCCAGGCTAGAGTGCAGAGGTATGGTCATAGCTTACTGCAACGTCAAACTCCTAGGTTCAAGTGATCCTCCTGCCTCAGCCTCCCAAGTAGCTGGGACTACAGGCATGTGCCACCACGCCTGGCTAATTTTTCTACATTTTGTAGAGACAGCGTCTTGCTCTTGCCCAGGCTGGTCTCAAACTCCTGGGCTCAACCAATCTTCCCATCTCAGCATCCCAAAATACTAGGATTACAGAAGTGAGCCACAGTGCCTGGCCCTATTGTCTTTTTTTTTTTTTTTTAATACTCAAATTGCCCCAAATGTGGCCAGTGGAAAATCCCTTGAAGCTACCACCCATGTCTTTTTGACATAACCCCATTTGTTGAGTGCTTCCTAGCTTTCTGTCACAATCAGGAGTCCAGGTTCACCTTGTACTTTCCCTTGCCCCAGTCCTGGAATCATCTATTCCTCAAGGGTCAGGGCTTCTCTTAATAGGGAACAGCATTTATAAGGAACAATTCTGTTAGTCTTTTCTATGTACCAGCCTCCAGGTGTCTGAAGCCAGTTATCATTTCTGTCGTATACACCTCCCCAAACTTCCACGCGTAGGCTAAATTCTCCCAATTTCTCATGCCAGCCTTCCTATGATTAGGACTTTTATCCTACACTCTTCTTTTTCATCTGTCCCAACTAAACTGCTATTATATTTTCTAGACCCATCAGACCCAACCTGACTATGTATCAGAAGAACTGGGGGACTTGTTTAATATACAGCTTTTGAGGATTCACTCCAGACTTACTGAATAGAATCTCTAGGGTGGGGCATCAGATTGTTTTGTTATTCTTTAAGCACCTCACCTGGTATCAATATAGCCACTACCCTGCCTACTTCAATTTTGAAAGGTCCTGTGGACCCAGAATTGGATAGAGTATCAAAAATGTGGACTAGAGCTACCACTTTTATTATACTAGATATTAAACTTCTTTCAGCATAATCAGATCAATGCAGACTTTTTGGGGTGTAGGTGGAGGTAATGACATAACATTTTTTACTCATGGTGAATTTATGAAGAACTAAGTCCTCAAGACTTTGTCAAACATATTGCTAAGTCACATGTTCCTTATCTATTTATGTTCCACCAGTGTTTTAGTATAAGGATTTGCATCTGTTCCTATTAAAATTCATATTGCTCGAGTCAGTTCAATCTTTAGTATGCCCAAGGGTCTTAGGGATTCTGGTTTTATCATCCTAACTATTTTTTACCCTTCCAACTTTATGTCACCCACAGTTAATTAAACATGCTGTTAAAGTTCTCTCTCTTACATTGCCTTTTCTGGGCTATTTTTTTAAGTATTAAAAAAAAATCAATCCTACAAACTGTTTTATGATGCTATGACTGTGGTGGTAGATATGTAATTGTATATGTTTGTCAAACCTCATAGGACCATACACACACAAAAAAGAGTGAATTTTAATGTATGTAAATTATACTTGGAAAAAAAATTCAGTCAACATTTTAAATATCCAGCTATATCCTTCTCTCAGATTAGGTCTCACTAATTTATTTTGACTGATAATTTCTGAAAAATGCCTTGCTATTCTAAGTAATAGAGTTTTCATAGATTTTATATTTTTATTCACAGAGGTCAGTGAATTCTAAGGTTTGCTTCCTTGAAAAAGCAATAGGGTTTTTTGTTACCACTACAGGGAACCCAATGAATGCATTATATTATTAGTTCCTATCACACACACAAAAAAAAAAATACAAAAAGTTATAGAATGTGGAATAAGGAGAAATTAATAGTAGAAAAATTATAACCTTTCCTAAAACTGGGTTAGAAACATTGAATGTAGTCTATCAGTCTTGCTTAGGATAAGAAGTCAGATAATTTCCTACCTGTAAGTTTGACAAGGGTTTTTAAAAATACTCTTTAGTGTTGATGAAGGTCTAGTGAAATACATTCTCAGTGTGAATGAAAAGCTTAAGTGATAAAACCTTCCTTGCCATTTGAAATTACCTAACAAAAACTTAAAAGAATCCACTTGAATACATACATTTATATTTATATAACCTAAAAAGTCTAGAAAAAAATATTCCAAAATTTTAGCAGTAGCCAGCCATTTCTGGCTGATGGAAGGCAGGGTAAGTTTTGCTTCATTTTACTTTTTTTTCATACTTTGTATTTTTAAAATATTTTCTAAATTTTTAAAATATTTTCTATATTTCTACAATATGCTTATATTAGTTTTATGATTAGGAAAACAGTGATACACACTTAATAAAAACACTGGTTAAAGGGGAGGAAAATAAATCACAAAAGAAAGGAATAAGAATAAAATAATTTTTTACGAAGATGTATCTGTCACTGATAGGAATTCTCAAAATAAAACATGTCTTCCAGGTAGTCAATAATTTTATAAAGAATTTTTATTCAGAGAAGGAATACTATTTCCCTTTTGAAGCTTCTCTGAATGCCACAGAAGATTCCAATATACCAGTACTCTAAAAGGACACTTACATTGCTTCCAAAGAATATTTTTCAAAAGAGAAGCTTTATACAGAATTATTAAATACTATAAATTCATACCTTGAAGAACGATGTTCTGGTTTATTTCGTTCGTTGCGATCTGTAAAGAAAGTGAGAGTTACACGTCAAAATTCTCTTTAAAAGCCCTGGAAAAGAATTTCTCAAATACTAGTTGCCATACCATTAGATTTCACAAAGGACTGTTCACAGAGAGTTGTGTCTTCCCCTATGTAAGGCTCTTGATCAGCCTTGAGAGGATTTGCCTGACAGAGGAAGTAGAAAGGACACAACGAAGAACAGGCATAAAAACTTTTTATGGTTTATTAAAATCACCTACTTAGAAAATATATCATTATATGTATGATTTCATTTTAAAAGATCTTTCCTCTGTTAAACACTTTGCTAAAACCAAAACAGATTTAGCTAAGGAAAGAAAGCAAGGAAACTGAAAAGCCACATATTACTCAGCTCAAAAATATCATTCTATGAATCATGGTTGGCAGAAACTTCTAACAGAATGGGAGGGGGAAAAATGAGCAGTCAGCTACAACAACATCTGCAAATACTAAGACCAGTACAGCCTCATCCTTAACTATCTATCACCCAGAACGTTTCAGAAGTTGGGTTTCAATGTTTCACCAATAATTATGCTATATAAAAAAGATTTTCAGTTGTCATAACTGGGGAGAAGGGAGCTCTTGTGGGTACAGATGCTACTAAAGGTCCTAAAATGCACAGGGCAGCCCCTGCCCAACAGAATTATTTTGTCCAAAATGTCAATAGTGCTGAGATTGAGAATGCCTCCTATAGACAGGGTAAGAAATAAGAGCACAGGTGCTTGAACTTTTCAAAAGTGACTTTCCAGACTCCTTTAAATGCTATTCATCAACCTTAAGACTATCACATACAAGAGAAACAACCACAAAAACCACAGGTTGTGTTTTACTAGTGTTATGATATACATAAAACTAAAACAAAAATGAAGTATAAGGCCTCGGTGTTATGGAAAAACTAACAACAGAAAGTAATATACAAACCACAATATGGTCCTGTGCAATAATGACTTTAAAAAAATACTATGGAATATTATCAAAATACAGTTTTCAATTGTATCTTCTGAATTAATGCTAACAGCATAGAATTTAATAGCAAAGCAAAGATTAGACAAGAATTCTTTAGTTTTTCCTTATTTTATTGCTGGTGGAACGGCATAGAGAGGATAATGAAAACACACTCTAAAACTTCTAGAAAGAAATACGGAAGAAAAGGAATAGGATTTATACAGTTAAGTGTATGTAACAATTCTTTCTGTATGAGTTCATAATAAAAAAGAAATGTTTTTTAAAGCCAAAGACTTAGTACACATGAAGACACTGTTCTCTGAAAGACTAATAGCAGAAAGCTTCACAGTAAAGCATGTTTGTTTAGATGTAATGCTCTCCAAACACACAACATTAATATATTTCTGGTTCCAATTTCTCCACACTGTGATTTAGTGTTACTATAGCTTTTGAACTTTTCTGTTTTAATTTAGCTGGGTTTTGCCCCTCCCTGAAATAAAAATATCATGATTTTCACTTGTTGGAGTATTAAAATTTTTAAGTCATAATAATACGGGGCACGTTTTTTCCATCATTCCTCTTCAGCTTTTAGCCAGCTAGTTTTGCTAACAAAAGTAAAGCATAATATCTTAAACTGAAGCTAAACACTGAATACAGATCAGCTATCCTCACATAACAAAGCAACAACTCTTACCTGAGGCTAAAGGTGAGCTAAAACTCTGTCCAGAATGTCATTTGCTGTGGCTGTGATCCTAGGTTCATACTGTATATTTAGGCATGTAATAGCAAATATCCCCACTAATCTTCCTAGTGGTACAGTACACAAGAGGACAGGAGAAACAGAGTCACGATGCATGTAAACAAGACTCAGCATCCAAGGGCTTCCCTCTGGGGCCCATTCTGATTGGCAGATGTGCTGTGACCAGTCTGCACAGCTGGAATGTGGCCACTCAGGAAGTAAATGGCTCGCAGCTCTTCTTCATTCTTGGTTAAAACAGGAAATTCTACAGTCAGTTTTATACTTTCCACTCTAAGAAAACACAAATGCCTTCCCACAGTACTTCTCTATTGAACTGGTATTATAATTAAAAACCAAAAAATAACTTGATTTTCTGTCGGAGGACATATTAAACATATCCCTCAAATTCAATCGTATTGTTATTTGTGTTACATTCCTACGTAAATATGCATACACAGTGTTTATAACATGTTACTCCTAAGAACTCATATAATTGATAATTTGAGGGTAAGGGTAAATTATCCATTAATCACAATATTCCCCACTCCTTACTTCTTGACAATGGAAAATAAACTGAAACACATGTTTTTGGCTTTATCTTTTCCCTCAAAGTATACAAATAATTGGATCTCACATTTTGCCATAGAGCCATCTTTTAGCTTAAATACATATAAATATGTGTGTGTGCGGAGGGGGGTTGTATATCTGTGTATCTTATATACTTATATTGTATATGCGGAGGGGGGTTGTATATCTGTGTATCTTATATACTTATATTGTATATACTTATATTGTATATACTTCTATTTAAAACAAAGTAATTTTCATGATAGCCAAGATATTGTGCAATTGTCAAGAAATACGTTAGTAGAAATGCTAAATTTTTGGCGAAGTAATAAGTGGCTATTTTTTTGGTTCGGAAGCCAAGACTGAACAAAACAAATCACTGAGGGCAGATTCAGGAGCATTCTTGCCAACAATAACAAAACATTTGGATAAAATCCCCTTAACAATGAGAACAGATCTACAGCAAATGTGGAAATTTTCACTAGATACAGTGTTTTAAGCGTATGGATTTTATTTATTTCAAATCAAATATTCTTTAGCACATCCCCTCATTTTTTTTAGCATTTCTAATTTTTAAATAATTAGGAGAGAATATACCTGCAAAGGCTTTCTGAACTTTTGCACATTTAGAAATCATATGAATAACTCACTAGCCCAAAGTCTCAGCATATCTATGAAAAAAGAGTTACTAAAAATAAAATGCCCTAACTCTAAAAATTTATTTGCCAAAGGCTGCACATTTGCTATGGATAATGTACTAATTGCAGGGACACATTCAGCAGAGCATGATGGTTTAGGACTCTATGGTCCCCAACCCCTGGGCTACAGCCCATTAATGGCCCATGGCCTGTTAGGAAATGGGCTGCACATCACCACCTGAACTCCTCACCACAACCACTCGGCCACGACACCCCCCACCCCCACTGGAAAAACTGTCTTCCATGAAACTGGTCCCTGGTGCCAAAAAGGTTGGGGACTGCTAGGTCATTCAAAGACCAGTAGTACATTCTCAATATGAGGGTGAGCATGGCTGAGTAAAAGTCTGTTGGTTTTGTAGCGCGCTCTCTCTCTCTCTGTCACACACACACACACACACACACACACACACACACACACACACACACTCCTTGCATTCCCTGTTCCTTGCATTCCCTGTTCCATTCATTCATGTATCTTGGTTAATAAAGCTAATTGAGGAATGGAAGAATACCCCCCAAGCAGAACAAAGACAACAAAGCAGAGCTGGCACAAAGCCTGTTGATAGCTGCATGTGTAAATACTGTGGGGAGATGTGAGGGATGCGATGGAGGAACCTATGGTACATCAGTGGACTGGAGAACATTTGGGGGGTTAGGAGGCTACAGTGGATGAAGGACTCTGTGAGAATTCCAGACTATCCACATTTTCCTTTCATGATTACTTGGTTCTAAGTAATCGAGACATACCTGATTCCAATGTTTATGTATTTAGGTGTTATACCACTTATGTAGAAATGGGTCTCTGTTCTGGCAGGGATAGGTTTTGGGGAATCCTAGACAGATCCTACTAATGTGGAACCATTCAGGGTGATTCTGACATAATAATATGACAAACACTTTGAACTGGAGATGACAAAAATGCAAATGTCATCTTTTGCTTTGATTAAAACTAAGAAGAATGGCCAACTCAGAACTTATTAGAATCTGTTGTAAGACAGTCAGGCTTTGATGATTTAGCTTTGATCACTTAACTGGAGAGAAAATCAAACCCCATTGGGTAAGGACTTACTTTACTCAAGTCAGAAATGAAAGGTCTTAAATTGTTCTTTGAAATTATGGGGAAGACTAGTCTACATGAATGATATATACAAAGATATACTCACAATAGAGTAAGAAGTGGTATAAAGGGAATCTGTCTTATAACTCATATCAGAGTACCAAAATCTCTCTTTAGGAGGGGTACTATCTTTGAAGGGATTTCATAGCATACTCCCAAGCATTACTGTCAAGTTATAGCTTCAGACTATATACATTATTTTTAAAACATGGATCAATCCTACATAAATCCTCTGTGCCATTCAGTATTCACTAAAGGTTCCACAGGGTCTAAAAAGAAATTATTTGCAGCAACAATGCCATTACCTCTTTACTTATAATAAACAGGAGAAATAAAACAATGAACCTATTCATTATAAGAAATAACACATTCAGTGTTCATGAATCTTACTTTGTTGACTCTTTCACAGATAGCAAAACTGATTCCACACAAGTAGAAGTGGGTGGGTAGAATTTTATATATCAGATATCAGAATTTCAAAGGCTTTTCTACAATCTTTAAATTATCCTTATATTTAGGCAGAGAAAACTACAAATATATACACATATTTACTTGAAAAGAAGCCAATGCTTATTCTACAAAACTACTAACACCCAATAATACCTATCTACCTATGTTTTCTAATTCTATTTGAGCTCTCTTCCTCAGGTGTATCTCCAAACAGACTTTTATTCACTTTTGAGATTCACACAATAATAGTCTATTGCTCTTTCAAATGGCAGGATCTTTTAAATGGTAAAAATAAACATATATTTCTTGTTTTTGAACTAACACACTGTTGAACTTAAGAAAGTTCCTACCCTCTTGGTTGAAAAAGCCAAGAAATTAAAGAGAATTTCTGTGAGCTCCCACTACATGAGAGAAATGAGACATATAGAGAAGTTTGCATGATTATGGGTAAGTGGAAAAGTCTGGTCTATAGCACTATTAATACCAACACCTTTCATTAATTGTAATTATAAAACTCCTAAACTCATTAAAATGCAGCATCCCAATCACATAGGGAGGAAGAAATTGGAGATGGAAGGGGAAGCTTTTTCAATACAGGATTTATGTTTCGACAAAGAAGCAGATTGCTTCTGGAATGTTTTCTCCTTCCCATGCCCACTGATTTTATTCTCAATTCAAGTTCTTATCAGACTATTGTGTCCTGACTGGATTTCCTGGCTCCACTCTCCTTCCCTTCCCACCAAACCATATTGCTGGCCAGATAAATCCAGGCCTCAGAAAAATTACAAATCACTACATACCATAGATCTGAGGATTAAAGGAGATAACACCAGTGACATCCTTAGGAACTTACCTGGACACAGTAAGCACTCCATAAATGTCAGCTGCCATCACATTGTTAAAAGGCCAGCTATTAACTAGTTGTAGCAACTGATATTGCACTGTAGTGTCTGCACAAGTTACTAAACCTCTCTCAGCCTCAGTTTTCTCACCTACAAAATACGGAGAATACTATCTTTACAAAGTTTTTGTGAGGATAAACGAATGAAAGAATATAAAAAGCTTAGCTTAGCATTTAGAGCACAAATTCTATTACTCTAATTCTGTTATCATTACTTTTATTATCTTTAATGCCTGGCTCAAGAACCACCTTCTCCATAAAGCTATCCCTGATTCCTCTTTCTCTTCAGCATCCTTGTATTAGTTTCCTATTGCTGTGGTACAAAATTACCATAAATTTAGTGGCTTAAAACAAAAATTTATTATCTTACAGTTTTAGAGGCCAGCAGTCAAAATGGGTCTCATTAAGTCCATTCAGATATTTTCAGGGGTACATTCCTTTTGTAGGCTCTAGGACAGAATCCATTTTCTTGCTTTCTTCACTTCTTGAGGTCACTTGCATTCCTTGGCCTGTGGCACCTTCCTCCAACAGTGTAGCATTTTAAAATCTCTTTCTGATTCTGGTCTCTTCTTCTGCCTCCCTATTCTAGTTTGAAGGACTCTTATGATTACATTGGGTCTTCCAAGATAATCCAGAACACTCCCCTTATGTCAAGTTAATTAGCAACCTTAATTCTCCTTTGCCATGGAATGTAATATATTCACAGGTTCCAGGGATTAAGATGTGGACAACTTTGTGGGGAAGAGGAGAACATTATTCTGCCGAACACACCCTATCTGAACTTTCACACTATCCATACCACTCACTGAACACTTGGCACATGATATTTTACATTGCTATATAAGGTTTTAGGCATGTGTCTGTCCCCTTTACCTAAGTAGTGTGTCTGATGTACACCGAGACTCTGTCTTAGACTCTGCTTCACAGCCTTCTGTAGATACTTGTCGATAATGGTAGTATCCAATGCCTTCCCATTTCCTTTTCTGCCTTGCATTCTTTTTTTTTTCTTTGATTATTTATTAAAATCTGCCAGAAAAGTAAAAGGAATGTTATTAAGCCTTTATAAACAATTGTGAACACAGTGTTTTCTTCAATTTCCTGGTCACATGCTCGTGTTAACAGGCACTGGAGACAGCCAGCTTCTTCAAATGATCCATGAACACCTGCAGACTAACATCATCAGTTAGGATGGGCGCTCCAGTTTCCTGTCCCCAAGCATACAGGTTATTGTGTGTCTGAGATGGGTTCACTTTGGACAAAAGGAATCGAGCCTGACTGCCACCATGCTCTGTGTTAATGTAACGTGGCATCGGGAACCGCGCCTGTAGAATTTCTTGAGCATCATCCAGTGGTGCCTGCAGAAGGTGCTTGAAGTTTTTGTACTCGGGCATGTCCTGGTACCCAGCTTTACGCCACTGGGCTATGGTCTCACCAAGATAAATGACAATCTGGAAGAAAGTATCCATCAGCAAAATTCTGTCAGTTAGAATGCTGCTGCTGTCCAAGAGTACCGGCTCTGGAGGCCCCTGGAAGGAATAGGAGTAGAGAATGGGCTGGATCATGATGAGGGACTGGGTCAGATCTTGCCGGGCAAAATGATGTCTGTAATAGGACGACTCGTCAGGGCTGTTGTTAAACACTTGCAGAAACGGAGATCTTCTAAGATGGAACATGAACTGAGGATATAGAGAAAAGGAATCTGATAACCTAAAAGAAGTGGGGTCTTCTTTGTTATACTGTCCAAACTTCTGACACAGTCGGATGAGTTGTCGGTCCAGCCACCGGAGCACGTCGGGCCCCTCTTCTGACTCCGCTCGGAATACTCCCAGCCGTGCCATCAAGACCGCTGCAGCTTCCTGGTCAAATGCTGCTTCTATGTGCCTGAGCTGACTCTGCGCATCTGCCCAATTTCGGGCAATGGTGGTCACACGGATGCGTCTCTGGGTGCTGGAGTGTTGATACTGTGTGACAAACTGGATGGCACCTCTGCCTCCTTGGGGGATCGGAGCGTTGTGCTGATTGACTACTTCAAAGTAAATGCCAAGTGTAGATGTGGGATCCAGGCCACAGATTTTCCACTGACTTGTGCCACCAACACCAAGTTCATTTTCTGACACACATGGTCCTTTCACATTCAGAGATACACATGGACCAATGGCTCCCGCAATCTTCAGTTCCCGAGAGGTCTTTACTTCCAAAGTAGCACCAAAAGCCATTCGAAAATCTCCATTAAAATCTTTACTAAAAATCCTTTGGAATGTCTGCTTGAAGAGAGAAGTGTTGAAAGAATCTCCCATTACCATGTGGCCTCCAGTAAGATTTGCACAACACTTCATCTCCAAAAGTCCAGTTTGGTCAAGGGCACAAGCATAAATATCAATGCAGTGACCATTTGTAGCAGTTCGATTAGCAAGCATCTCATAGTGCTTAATTGCCTTTTTCATGAAACGTGCATTATCTTTCTCAATATCATGCCAGGAACGAATAGGAATCTTTAATTCATCTCCAACCACCATGCCAGGCCCTTGGGTAGGGGGACCTCCAGTAAACAGCATGATCCTGGCTCCCGTATTTGGAAAAGTGCCCTCCAACAAGCCAACAGCAATGGATAAAGCAACACCAGTGGATCGCAAAGGTCTCTTCCCCTGAGTTACTGGCCATGGGTCCCTCTGCAGCTCCCCAAGAAGATCAGTGAGGTTCATATCAATCTTGTGAATGGGCTGCAGAAATCTGCTGGAAACAAAAGGGTGCTCCTGTGGTTGAGGAGGTCTGGCTTGTTGCATGGGCATGGCTGGCTTGCTCAGACCCAACATATCCTGTATTTGCTTTGCAGTTAAATCCTTGGTCCCTCGGAAGACATAACTTTTGGAGATTCCTTCGCAGCTTAGTTCATGAACCTGCACCATCCTCCCAAATGTGATAAGACCCACCAGAGCATCTGGAGGAAGGAGACTCAGGGACATCTGCAGGGACTCTTTGAGTGCTTGAAGGTCATCCTCCTCCAGGCATGTGTCGACCACATAGAGAAATATCAGAGGGGACTGAGCACCTCGCTGTATCATGTACTCAATTGTAGAAAACTGGGGCATCAGTTCGGCAGGCTGATTCACCTCAGATATGCCTGCATAAGCTGGGGGAAACTGATTTCGTTGGAAACAGAAATTACAGGCCCAAAGTTTTGCTCGATAATCAACCTGACAAAGTGGATTGAGAACAGCTTTGCAAGTTGGTCTGCTGCAAAGCACAGGTTCATACTGTACAGGAGGTAGGTCTGGACGTTCTTTTAAAGGAGTAAGGAGACAAGCCAGGGGAACAACCATTCTTGTAGCTTCCAGACGGCTGGAAGGCCACACATTCCAACTAAAGCGGACACCATCCCGTTCTTCATTCTGCTGAATAAACTCCAGATATGTCGCCATAGTCTAAAAGGGAACTGGCCAGAACCGTCAGCACTCACAACCCAAAGAGCCGCGCTCCGACTCCCACAGGCAAGTCCCTGCCTTGCATTCTTTATATTGTAGTTGGGTCATTGATATATCTAATATTGTTGAAAAATGTGTGTTCTTAAGAATTCCTGGCTGGGTGCAGTTGCCCATGCCTGCAATCCCAGCACTTTGGGAGGCCGAGGCAGGAGGATTGTTTGAGGGCAGGAGTTTGAGACCAGCCTGGGCAACACAGTGACACTCAATCTCTACAAAAAATAAAAAAGTTAGCCAGGTGTGGTAGCACACACATGTTGTCCCAGCTACTCAAGCTGAGGCAGGAGGATTGCTTGAGCCCAGGTGTTCAAGGTTGCGGTAAGCTATGATTGCATCACTGCACTTTAGTCTGGGTGACAGAGCGAGACCTTATCTCAAAAAAAAAAAAAAAAAACCCATACATTTTTGAATTTTAAAAAATGCAATAATAGTGATTTAAGAGTCACCTTTGTCCTAAAAAAAAAATCCACATTTGGTCTATTCTTCTGTCTCAGCAGAGCCCTCACCAAAACAAACCACACATAGGAGAAAAAAACTACAGCACATTTGAACTAGAAGAGAAATCAGCTATTTAGTGACAGGCTGCTAGTCTTTTTAATGATTCTTCTTCAAAATGGTTCAACTGAATCATTTTAATTGTTGAATTCAACTGACTATTGAATCAGGCTTTTTATAATTTAGCTTTTTTTTTCTTTTAAGAGATGGAATCTTGCTTGGTTGCCCAGGCTGGAGTGCAGTGGCACAATCATAGCTCATTGTAACTTTCAATTCCTGGGCTCAGGCCATCCTTCTGCCTCAGCCTCTCAAATAGCAGGGACTACAGACATGCGCCTGTAGGATATTGACCTGGTGACTTTGGGCATACATCACATGGAGATGGCCATAAAGAAGTTACTTCTCACACTGGCCACTCTGGAGGTTGGTGTGTAAACTCTTAGCTTCCTGTGTAGATGAAGAACCTGTCATCATAAACTACAGACTGTTGAAAACAATTGGCAAGGGGAATTTCGCAAAAAGTGAAATTGGCAAGACACATTTTTACAGGCAGAGAGGTTGCAATAAAAATAATTGACAAAACTCCATTGAATCCAACAAGTCTACAAAGGCTCTTCAGAGAAGTAAGAATAATAGAGCTTTTGAATCATCCAAATATAGTGACGTTATTTGAAGTCATTGAAATTGAAAAACACTCTACATAAACATGGAATATGCAACTAGAGATGAAGTATTTGACTATTTGCTTGAACATGGAAGAACGGAGGAAGAAGAAGCAAGCGCTAAATTCAGACACATAGTGTCTGCAGTGGAATACTGCCATTAAAAACAGATCATTCACAGAGACCTCAAGGCTGAAAATCTATTGTTAGATGCCAATATGAATATTAACTGGTAGATTTGGGTTTAAGCACTGAATTCACTGTTAGCGGTAAACTCAATACTTTTTGTGGCACTCCTCCATACTCGGCCAATGAGCTCTTCCAGGGCAAAAAGCATGAGGGGCCTTGGGTCAATGTGTGGACCCTCGGGGTGATCCTATACTTGCTCGTCACTGGCTCACCTGCCTTTGTCAGGCAAAACCTGAAGGAACTGGGAGCAAGCATATTAAGAGGGAAATACACAATCCCTTTGTACATGTCTATAGACTATAAAAAGCTTCTCAAATATTTCCTGGTGCTAAATCCAATTAAACAAGGCACTCTAAGCAAATCATGAAGAACAGGTGGCTCAATGCAGGGTATGAGGAAGATGAACGTAAACCGTTTGCTGGACCAGAACTAGACATCTCAGACCAGAAAAGAATAGATATTTTGTGAGATTGGGATATTCACAAGAAGAAATTCAAGAATCTCTTGGTAAAATGAAATATGGTGAAATCACAGCCACATATTTGTTACTGGGGAGAAAATATTCAGAGCTGGAGGCTAGTGATTGCAGTTCAAGCAGCAGTCTTTTACTTGCTAAGGTTAGGCCGAGCAGAGATCTCAACAACAGCAGTGGCCAGTCTCCTCAACACGAAGTGCAGAGAAGTGTTTCTTCAAGCCAGAAGCAGAGATGTTACAGGACCATGCTGGAGCAGCTATTCCTTCAGCTGGGACATATCCAAAAAGGAATAAGACCAGCACTGCAGATAGTGAATGCAAGAAAAGCTCCACTGTCCCTAGTTTCCCAGAGAAGAGAAGGAACTCGGTCTCTGCCTTCAGGACTTTCCATTCCCTGCCACTTTTATCCACATGCTGCCCTTCCAAACAGGAACATAGCATCTGGAGGAATGACATGGTGAAATATGTACATTTGCAGTGACAGAACTACAGATGATAGCAGTGATTCAGAATGGCAAAGAAAACTATTCCTGAGGCAAAAACTCCAGCTACTTCAACACACAGTATTACCAATGCAACTACCCCAGATGGAATCCACTTCCCAAGAGGCACTGCCAGTGACAGCGCTTTCTATGGCCAGCCACGAGAACAAGAACGGTGAACTGCAACGTATTACAGCCTACCAGCCTTTCCTAGCCTGCCCCTGAATCCACACCCAGACTCGAAGCAGAGGCTCCACTAGTCTTTTTCATAAACTAACTTGAAGACTCAGAAGGAATACTATTCCTGAGCAGAGAAGTCCAGTTGCTTCAATACACAGTATTACCAGTCCAACCACCCCAGATCAAATCCACTGCCTAAGAGGCACTGCCAATCACAGCACTGTCCCTGGCCAGCCATGGGAGCAGCAAAACGCAACATGTAACAGGGTCCCCTCACCTCCCACGCCCCCGCCTTTTACAGCCTATCCCATGAAGCCACACCGTTGTCCCAGACTTACAGAAGTCACAAAAACAACTCTGTTTTGCTGCTATGTTGTAGAACATGTGATTGAACATGAATAAACATTTCTGAAGAAAAAAAATATTTGAAGGCACAGAAGGAAAGCTCAACATTCAAGTTAACCAAAAGAAAACAGAATCTGCAACAAAGTCTTTCAAGAAAGGAAGATTCTGATACTCGATTCTAAATTGTTTCTTTCTATATCTGAGGATCACAAGAATTTTTTTCAGATTTTTTTCTCAGAATTATCTTGTAAATAAAAACAAACAAATAAAAAGATGACTAAAATACGTTTTTTTTTAATTTTTTTTTTTTTTTAGAAACAGGGTCTCAATATGTCATCCAAGCTGGAGTACAGTGGTGCCACAGCCTTGAACTCCTGGGCTGAAGGGATCCTCTTGCCTCAGCCTCCTGAAGTGCTGGGATTATAGGCACAAACCACTGTGCCCTGCCCAAAGTTTATTTTTAAAGGGCCCTACCATATTATGTTGTAGTCAGAGACCATAAGGTAGACAGTCAAGTGAAATATACATTCTGGAAGAGCCTTAGGTACTAATGCGTATCAGAACTGTCTTTTAGTTGGTGCTATCAATTAAAATAATTAATCTGTACATAAAACATGTTTATTGAAATGTTAACCCAGTGTCACTGGGTGTAGCTATCTCTAAAACATAGCCATAGCAGAAGTGACAGGTAAACAGGAGCAATCTCTGTTGTACAGAATTCAAATATATACAAGAATAATTGAATTGCTAAGGAGCTTTATCACTACTGATCTTTCTGACTTAAAGCCTTTAAAAATCACTAGTATATTAATATTAATTTGTTCAAGTCTTGATTAAATAGTGTAACAAGATTCAGTTCCCTGTTAATTTGTTTTTTAGAGAAAAAGTAAGGAAACATTGATGTTTGACAAGATTTACAAATCATTATCTACCACAGGAAAAGGGACTCCTCATTGAGAAGTGTCAAGCCTTCCTAGGAGAATAAATTCAAGACAGAGATGGGTTCTTTCCACCTTCCAGACTTTAATGGCAACAGTGCCTAAGTCCTCTAGATATACCTAGGACAGTCATACTTGTTCCCTGTAAAAGATAATAAAAGTTCCTGGTTTGCTCTAGATGAAAAATCAGCTAAATTCAACTTTATTGGATGGATTTACATTGGCCCAGTGTAGATTTACAGGTCTTTCACTGGGACTTGACCCACTCTCACTTCCCAGAGAGTTCAAAGACTAAGATGAAGTTACCTGGAGAAAGAAAAATTTTAAAAAAAGGTTGGAAAGATATATATGTGACTTTATAAGCCTCTTAGAGACAATAAAAAGTAAGAAAATATAAAGATTTTCCCCTGGTGGCATTTGTTTCAGTAGATTATTTTTTAATTTATGTTTTTTAAGGAAAATTTCTCCATCAGATTAAATAGCCAAAGCAAAGGTTCAAAAAGCAAATGCCCTAACATCACATAAAATTTGAATATGAAAGAAAAAACCCAACTCCAGGTATACATCTAGAGGGTTACTGGCAATATTTCTATTTCTCTGAGTTTCAGGCATTTTAGGATAACATTTTAAATTAAGGTTGTGTATCTCTCCTTTCAATATTTGAGTCATTTAATATGAAATGATTAAATTCTATTTTGGCTTAACATATTATTTAAGTTATCTTTTCAATGATGATGTTCAATGCTGGTACAAGTAGTGCAGATAGAGGAATCCTTAGCTACCATTGGTAGGAATGGGTATGATCTTTCTGGAAAGAAATTGGGCCTTTAAAACGTTTATGGCTTTTTCTCCAAAATTCAGCTTCTAAAAAGCTATCCTCAGGAAACAGAAAGCTGAGGAAAACTTCTATATAAAGATATTTACTACACTGTTCTTTACAATAGCAAATCTAAATGATCAACAATAGAGGTATGACAAAATAAATTTGGGCTGGGCATGGTGGCACATGCCTGTAATCCTAGCACTCTGGGAGGCCGAAGTGGGAGGATCGTTTGAGGTCAGGAGTTCGAGATCAGCCTGAGGAAGAGCGAAACCCCACCTCTACTGAAAAAATAGAAAGAAATTAGCTAGACAACTAAAAATATATAGAAAAAATTAGCCGGGCAGGTGGCGCATGCCTGTAGTCCCAGCTACTCGGGAGGCTGAGCCAGAAGGATCGCTTGAGCCCAGGAGTTTGAGGTTGTTGTGAACTAGGCTGATGCCATAGCACTCTAGCCTGGGCAGCAGAGTGAGATTCTGTCTCAAAAAATACATAAATAAATAAATTTGGACTCATCTATAATTGGTTTATATACTATGCAGTTATTATCATATTCAAAATACATTGAGTGTCACTAACTCGTTTAGCCTTCACAAGAACTCTATGAAGTAAGTTCTCTTATTTACTGGTCCCATGTTACTGATGAGAAAAGAAAGAAATTCAAATAACTTGTCCAAGTTATGGAACTAAAAAGTGATGGTGCTGGGATTCCAACCAGCAGTCCAGCTTCAGCGATCAAACTCTTTAGCATTATATTATACTATATTGCTATTTTGTATGTTACTTTTCAAATGTGATACTGGATTCTATTTTATAATTTTTCTTCAAGGATTTTGTTTCAATATGCATGAGCAAAACTGGTCTCCAGTTTTCTTTTAAGAGCAATATATTTTCTTTGTTTCAATATCAATGTTATTTTCTCTTCATCAAACAGAATTTGGAAACCTCTCTTCATTTTCTATGTTCTAGAACAGTTTAAAATAGCACTAAAATGATCTATTTCTTAAAGGTTTGGTAGAATTTCCTTGTAAACTCCTGAAAGAGAGGGAAGGGAGGGTAGCTCTTTGACAGCTTCTATATTTCATCAGTAATGACTTCTAGATTTTTATGAGTTCTGGAGTCGGCAATGGTCACATATTTTCCATTTTATTTGTTAAAATATTTAAACAGATTTATTGAGGTGTAATTCACATGCCATAAAATTTGCCTGTTTGAAGTGTACAATTTGATGATTTTTAGTAAAATTATTAGAGTTGAGCAACCATCATCATGAACATTTTAGAACGTTCCCATCACCCCTTGTGCCATCTGCAGTCTATCCCTGCTGCCACCTCCAGCTCCTCCATTTTAATAGTACAACTCTATAACCTTAACGTAAACGAACAGATATGTTTATGTGAATTAAATAAGATGGTAGAATCAAATCTTGGACATGTACTACATATAATGTGACTATTTATATTTTAAAATATTTACTTTTATGAAATTAATGTGGTATTGTGCACAAGTAATATAATTTTTTTTAGCTCATTAAAGCTACCTGGTACTTATGAAAAAAACAAATAGTATGACTGTTCTCATTTTCCTGTGATCAGTACTGAGACTTCCATAAACACATATTTCTAACAACCCTACTGGCAGCAACCAATACAAAGCAAATATTAAAATAGGACCACAAGAATCACCCTGCTTCCAGACATATCAGAAATTGCCATTTTTCTTTATTTATGTTAATCAAAATTGTAAACTATAAGATTTTTTAAATGTCTTACTTTTTCTTAATTTCTTCTTTTTATTTTTCCTAATAAAAGTCTGGAAAAACCCTAGATATTTCTGAAATGGACAAAATGTTTTACCCATAATATTAAAAATTTAGTGCTTAGAATTAAGCATAAATGATTAGAAGATTAGCCAAATATTTTTAGTTAGCACTGAACAGAGATTTCTCTAATTAGGAAGCATTAGTGTCATCTGATTTCTGATCCTTGCTTTAAAGCTCTCCCCATACAACAAGGAACATTAAGTATGACATTAAACTTAATTTAACAAGAAAATATTTTTTACATGTTCTAACATGCATAATCCAGTCAGTAACATTTTTAGATCTAAGATTGTTAGGAAAAATTGCTTTGAGCACTAAGAAATTCTTATAGTGATAAAGGTCAACAGAAACAGACTCTTGGAGAAGTGGAAGTGCCATGGACTTTGAAGCCACAGACATGGGTTCAAATCTCAGGTCCACCAACCACTAGGTAGGTGTCCCTCTTCTTGCTCTTGCCTCTTTCTCTCCCCACTCCCTGCCTAGTAGCCTCCTGCAAAAACAAAACAAAACAAAATGCAAACAAAACACTTCAGTGGAAACATACTCCGGAGATTTTCTTAAAGTGGATTTATACTGATTTAAAATTTTTTTATTCAGGAACTAAAGTAACTAAATTAAGATTTTCCCTTGTCAACACAATATCCTCGCTGGCCATCTGTTACTTTTCTATCATCATCTACTCAAAGACATAAGTGAGCCTCAAAAATATTTAAGTGCATATTGCAAGATTGTTTTGAGATTTAAACAGAGGTGTACTTATATGAATGCCCAACTATAAAGCACTCAAGGGTATGTAATTATTGCGCTGACAAGTGAGAATTCACAATAAAGGTATCCAAAACACACATGCACATATAGTCAGAGTCTGTCCATACCCTTCATGCTAGATATATATTCATTACGTCTATAAAAGTCACAATATTTAAAAATATTTTCTTAGTTAAATAAAAGAAAAAGAATTATACTTGGCTCTTCTAGTTTCCTATTTAACATTTGTTTTCAAATGATTCCCTCATAAAAGTATTAGAAAGTTATCAAGTCATCAATAAGAAATATTGACTGGGCATAGTGGCTCACGCCTGTAATCCCAGCACTTTGGGAGGCCAAGGCTGGAGGGTTGCTCGAGGCCAGGAGTTCAAGACTAGCCTGGGCAACATAGTAAACCCCCATCTCTACAAATAGAAAAGCAAAAAAGAAAAGAAATATGATTTTTAATTGGATGGAGATCATAAGTATAAGCCCTACCCCGAAAATAAGACCTAGTGATGTATCTGCACAACCTATGCATTTCGTTGCGGAGCAGTAAAGAAGATGGGCAGCCCTTCTCATCTGCCCCATGAGAGCTCTATTGCTCGACATGAGAGATTGGGGCCAATGGTTCTAAAGGAAATATAGTCGCAAGAAATTCAGGATGGAATTCGGGGTTTGGAGAGTTATAGTGATGTTCCAGAAGAAGACTGACTTAACTATATTTGAATAAATGTAGATTGTTGTACCATACTTAAAAAAAAATAACACATCCCCTGAAAATAAGCCCTAAGGTGTCTTTGTGAGGAAAAATAAATATAAGACCCTATCTTATTTTCGGGGAAACACAGTATTACACCCAGCAGACAGCAGCAGAAGAGGGTGTCAGGCCTACTAATATTCTAATAATAATTATTACCTCTCAGATTTCTTTCCATCTCCCCATTGGAGAGCAAGGGCATTCTGCTCGGGTCATAAGTGCATAAGCCTTAACACAGAGTCTCCCAGCATGGTTTTGTGAACCAAATTGAAAACTGCGGCCAAAAAAATCCAGCACAGTTTGGCTGGATAAATCTCCAGTTGAGGATCAGTCAATAAAGATCACTGACTGATGGATCCCTTACTGTCCCAAGTTTTAGTGGCCCTTGCAGGGAGGAGGAGCACAAATGGCAGAATGCTCCTGAGAAGTCCCATTCCCCTCCTTTCCCCAACATTCACCGCCTTTCCACCATTATCTGCCTTTAGGATTAAACGATCTTTCACCAGATCTCAGGCACTACTTCCATGGTCTTCCTAACCCTATTATCACCAGTAACTGTATGCTTTCCATAATCTCAATTTTAAGCATCCTACCTTCCCATTTGTTACCTTTCTTGAACTCCTTAGAGCAAGAATGCCAATTCCAAATTAAACCTCATTAGGATTAACAATCCACTTTATATTTTACAAACAATCCATTTTATATTTCCTTACTCTGTATACTCCTCTCATTCCTTACTTTTCTTCTTTCCAGCTTAAGTTCATGACTTATTATAATCACTCCCTTGCCCCTCCCCCTTAATCATACCTACCTCAGAAAACCTCACCCAGGTTGTAGCCAACCCTCTACCCTCCACATGCCTCTGCATGTTGCTGAACACTACTGATGAACACAAAATGATGCAATTTCATTTTAGGTTCAAGCGCATCTTTTCAGCTGCCCAGCAGTCACACTATTACTTCCCTAGTCCATTCATCCCCTACACTCCCATATGGCTAGCTCACTTCTCTTTAAATCCTCAACACTTCTATTCCTATCCCCACTCTCAAAGGGTAATTTCCACATTTCACTGAGGAAACAGAAAAAAAATAAGCAGAGGACTTCCACCACCACATCTCTTACTAACTGGCACCTGTGCCCACATAGTTGCCTTTGTTCCTGCTGTATGAAAAATCATCTGTGCTCCAATCTAAATTTCTTACCCCCTAACTAGTGAGTTAGGTTCTGTCCCCTGCTCAAGGACACCATTTCAGCAATGCTCCTGCTTTCTTTCCTGCATCATCAATTTTCCCCCTCTGCTGGATAATTCCATTAGCACACAAATAAGATGTAATTTCTCCCATCTTAAAACAAAACAACAAAACCAAAAAACTCTGCCACCCAGCCTCTTCTGTCAGCTGTTTATCTGCTTTCCTTTATAGCATAACTACTGTTTCAATTTCAAATTACACCCCTCTTACCTCCTCTTGGACCCATTCCATGAAGCTAAATACAATGGTCAGTTCTCGGTCAACTATGGCATTTGGCAGCTAATCACACGCTCCTTGAAACATTTTCTCTACTAGGCTTCCAGAATACTACTCTCAGTTCTCAGCCTACCTCACTGCTATCCTCTCAGTCTCTCAGTGATACTTGTTTATCTAAACTTAGGAAGCATCAATCCTCAGAATTCACAGTGGACTTTATTTATACTCACTCCTTAGGTGACCTTATCTCATCTCATGGCTTTAAATATTATTACGTGCTGATGACACCCTAATCTAGCCCAAGTTTGGGCCAATCTCCTAAATTCCAGATTCATATATTCAGCTGCCTACTGGACATCTCCAGCTGGACATCTATCAAAACCACAAACTTAAGCCTACAAATGAGCTCCTCCTCTACTCTCCAGAAACCTGCTCCTCCTACAGTATGTCCCACCACAGTAAGTGGTGCTTCCACTTTTCTGGTGGCCTAGGCCAGAAACCTTGGAGTCATCCTTGTCTCCTCTCTTTCTCTCATATCCACATTCAATCTGTATCAGCAAATCTCATGGGCTCTTTCAAAATGCAACCACAATCTGCCACTTCTCACCACTTCTCTATAGCCCCGGTCCAAATCCACCATGACCTCCTGCCCAGATTATTACATCAGTTTTCTGCCTGGTTTCTCTGCTTCTATTCCCGACCATTATTAATCCAGTTACCAATGTGATTGATTTAAAACTTTAAGTCAGATCAAAATCTTCCCATTCCATGGAGAATAAAAACCAAAGTCTTCACAATAGCCTATAAGAGTCTACCTCATCTGGCCCCTGTTCCTTGTCTGACCTCATTTCTGATCTCTGAAGCCCCTCACTCACTCGCCTCTAGCCACCTGTTTCTCAAATGTCCCAAGCACATCCCTGCCTCGGGAGCTTTGTACGGCTGTTCTCTGTGCTTCAACCCCTCTTCCCTCAATTATGCACCTGGCCCATTTCCTCTCTTACCTCAGGTCTCTGCTCAGAAATCACTTCAGTGATGCCTTCCCTGACCATCCTATTTAAAAGTTATGCTCCACCCTGGCAACCCTATCTTCCTGAGCCTGTTTTCTCCAAAGCACCTATCATGATCTGACTTACAACTAGAATATAAGCTCTGTGAAGACAGGGGCTTTCTCTATGGTGTCACACCTCTATTCTAGCACACAGTTCCTGGTGTGGGTACTGAAAAAATGATTGCTGGATGAATGAATGAAGTCTCTTGGACTTGGGAGGCTGCTGTAGCATGGAGGGAAAGATTCCTAGATGAATCAGAAGATCTGGGTTTGAATTTGATTACTGTACTAGGAAATAGACATGATGCCCAGCTTTGCTACTGTATACTATAATTAGTTAAATTATTTAACCTTTAAGAGCCTCAGTTTTCTCATCTATAAAATGGTAATAAGAACATGCTTGATTCACAGAGCCAATGTGTGAATGAAAATGTTACACAAATGTAATACTGTCAGACTTCTGTAACTGATCACATATGTTAAATGTTGAATTAATTTAACATTTCTATATAATAGTTTATTCTTAGAAGATTTATTTACTCTGGGAACCAAAAGGACGCCTTGGATTATAATAACTATTTTAAATTGTCTTTCTCTAGGGATTATAATTATAATCTCTAGGGATTATAATTGTTTATATATAAATTGTACATATTAGTATCCTATAAACTTTAACTTTTGGGTGTTATGGTCAACATTATTTTTGCTTTCTAGTCTGAGGTATTATCAACTCTCTTCTAAATAGGGGGAGATGAGACTTGTTGTCTGGAGGTCTTTGATACTGTTATTTGGCTCTGGAATTGTCCAGAGCCAAATAACACAAGCCAGGTTCCTCAGTTTACATAAAATGTCAAGAAAGATAGTCACCTCCTTGAAGGCAGGCAGTTATCTATAGATCCTGCTCCACATTTAGCACAATATCTTGTATACAATAAAGACCTAATAAATATTTGCTAACTAAGTAAGTCAAAGAACAGATTACAATAGGTAGAAATCAAAGCACAAAGTGAAAGAGAGAAAGCAGAGAACATTGGTGAGCTAATTAACAGGCTTATTTCCCTTTTATTTTCTCATCAGTCCTATAACCATTCTAGAGGCCAAGGACCTGAGGTGGCCAATCTGCACAATCCTTTGTGATCCAAGCTCAGGGATCTGCCCTGGAGTGGTACACCCTTGGTCAGGGTGGAATCAGATAGGAGACACTAGGGCAGATACCTGAGACGTGGCAGGTTAGGCGAAGGGAGGTCTGTGAACCTAGACTTGCCCCACACCAGGGTCATTATGCCCTGAGCAAACCCTGCTCCTTCCAGCACCCACTCTGTAGGCAGAAACCCAGACACCCTGCTCTTCCAGGACAGCAGGGGGCGCCTCAGGCCTCAGTTCCTCCCACAGGTCCTGTAGCTGCACTTTTCAACTCTGGTCCCTTCAGTATCCGGCAGGGGGTGAAGACCAAACAAGAGGAGGGGGTTAAGCAGAGGAGTCCACCTAGGAGGAGAGGTTGGTTCTGCCCCCTTCTTCAGCTGCTCCAGCTAGCCTCTCTCTGGAAGCCTGAGTCCAAAAAGCAGAAGTGCTGACCCTGAAGACAGAGACATGGGCTCTGCTGGCATTGCCTTCATGCTGTTTCTTCTGCTGGGGATCTCAGGTGAAGCCTTGAGGTTAGGTAAGTGCTAGCCAAAGATGGAGGCTTCAGACCAGGAAAGGCTGCACAGGGCATGGGTGTGGGCCCTCCACAGCAGCCAGAATCCATCAAGGGTGTCTCCCACATTCTGCCTTTTCTCTCCCTAGGCGCAGATGAGGAAGAAACAGAGAATCTCTTGGAGTCAAGTAAGGGGCAGCATGCCAGGACAGACTGAGGGGAGGAATCTGTGCTAAGGAGGAAAACGCCAGTTTGGGAACTGGGCAAGGAGGGGTGAGAGCTGAGGGGCAGACTTCCAGAGTGGGCCCCTCAAGTATTTTTCCCCTTTGTTGGCAGTCTGTGGGCGGCCCACAGCCTCATATGGCATCTCCTCAGGCCAGAAAGCCAATGTGGGGCAGTGGCCCTGGCAGGTCAGTGTCCGCCAAGGCTTGCTCCATGTCTGCTCGGCCACCCTCATCTCAGAGCAGTGGGTGCTGACAGTGGCAAGCTGCTTCCGGTGAGTGCTGACTTGCTATGTGGAGACCCATAAGGGCCCCTGGGTGACTGGAGCTCCTGGGCTGAAGTAAGGGAGGGGTTTATCTTGCACTGTCTGATACAGTAATGTTGCACCTTTTAAGTGAATTCAAATATTTCCTACCCTAGCTCTCAGTTCAGTGCAAATGTTCTCAGACTTCAGGCTTCTTCATGTTTGATAATCATCTTGACTAAAATGAATAACTAAAAATAGTTGCATTCTCCCACCCCATCCCTCAAAATGAAAGCTCTACCTTGGAGACATTCCCCAGGGGCAAGGATGGGGAGCTTCCCTTATAGCATGCCCACGTCTTCACAACACTCTTTAGATACACAGTTCTGAGCCCCCTTCACTCTCGCAAGGTAAACTCATCCATTCCCCTTGGCTTAAATGTCATATACTTGCTGATAACACCCACACTTACATCTCTAGCCCCAATTTGGATGTCTCACTGGCATCTCAAAGGTAACACAGTCAAAACAGAACTACAATCTTACCACCATGACTATCCCCAAATCTATTGCTCTGTCTTCCCCATCTTATCCAACAACATAACCAGTTGCTGAAGGCAGAAATATGACATCTCACTTTCCTTTACTATCTACATCCAATGCATATACCATTCTTGTCAGTTTTACTTCCAAAATATACTTTGACTCTAACATAGTTGCCCTGGACCACTGCAATAGAATGATAGGTTTTGTTACTTTCAATACACATGAAAAGTGATTTTTTTAAAGTTAGAGGTGAGATAATATCACTTCCTCCTTCAAATCTTCCAATAGCTGCCCAGATGCCTCATTGTGGTCAGCAAGACATGAATCACCAGGTATCTGCCCACTTTTCCAACCTCATCCCATTCTACTCCAGCTTTTCTTTCAGTTTCTAGAAACTGCCAAACTCTTTGTCATCCACAGGGCCTTTGCATATTCTATTCTATGTCTATTCTATACTTTTCTTTATAGCTCTTCTCATGGATGATTCCCACATTTTAGGACTCACTTGAAAAGTTATTTCTTCAACAAGACCTTCCCTGACCACTCAATCCAAAAAATCTTCCCTCTTCTTTTACTCTCTATCTTAAAATCCTGTTTTTCTTCTTTGTAACATTTATCACAATTTAAAATTTTGAAATCGTTGTTTTCTTTGTTGACTGTCTTTCCCCTCTTACACACACATGTGCGCGCGCACACACACAATCCTTACCATGCAGCCCTGTGAGGGTCAGATCATGTCTATTTAAATCTCACTTATGATATTGGGGTATGTTTAATACTTGTTGAAGGAACAAATGCTTAGGAAAACCTAGAGGAAAAATGCAGCATCCAGAACAATGAATTCTGCTGTGATACTCCATGGCAGAGTCACAAGAAACCCATGGTACCTGTTTTGCATCTCTCCTTCTCAGGTTGAAGGATACCAGAAAGTACAATGTATTGGTGGGGTCACTTCAGATCTTTGGTCACCCAAACTCCAAAATGACTGTAATACCTGTGTCCCGGATTATCCGCCACCCAGACTTCCAAGGAAACACATCTAATGCCATCGCTGTGGTAGAACTGGCCTACCCAGTTTCTTTTAGCCCTGTTGTTCTGCCCATCTGCCTCCCCTCATCTGAAATCCAACTGAAGAACACAACCTCTTGCTGGGTGATTGCATGGGGCTATTCTAGAACATATCAACGTGAGGATAAGTAGATTTTCTGTGTTCTATATCTTCCACTGAAATTCGCTCCCCCTACTCTCTATCCTACCCCTATAGCACTAGATATATTACGGCCTTTAGGTCATTAAGCTAAGGTAATTCAGACTTCAAATTGTCTGTGACCCTTTGCTCCTTCATATTTCTTCTGCTCTAATCTCTTTGCTTAGTTATACCTGCTTTTGTTCTTATTTAGCAATAGTGCTAAGATCTTAAAAGCAAAAAGGACAGAGCAATACATTTAAAGAGAGGATAGTTCTGCTCAGTCTGAGAAGTAATATAATTCTCTCTCCACACCTGGGAGGAGTTAATGGAAAGATGAGTAGGTGGACAGGGGGGGCAAACATGAACATGTGTTCAGGAAAGTAAGGCCACTCAGCAAAAGTCTCTAAGTCAGCCTAGCTAGAAGAGTAGAGCTACATTTGTGTGTCAGCAGTCTTGATTCTAATTAGATCTACCTCTTATTTCTATGTAAAAATAAAAATATAATCCAAAGACAATTTAATTCTTCCTCATTCATTGTTTTGGGTTTTCCTAAATCACAAGAATTTTCTGTTACTAGTGTGTGCCATCTGAGCAGAAGCAACTACCTTCAGCCTTGTTCACAGTCAGGGAGTTCAGCCTTCAGGCTATTTCCCAAACAAGAAATCAGGAAGCTAGCTAACATGCAGGCAGAATATTTGAAATCAGAGCTATCTCTGAAAATCGAAAGCATGAAATCTGTATCCACAACTGAAAGTTGCTTTCTAATTCTCTAAGACAGCTTTGACTCTTTTTGGTCCTACAGATATCAAGCCTTCTTATACATTGAAGGAACTAAAAGTGCCCCTCATTGACCTCCAGACATGCAGTGACTACTATCAAAATGAAAGCTTGTTGCATGGAGTTAAACCCGTCATCAGTGAAGCCATGATCTGTACCAAGCTCCCCATGGGGCAGATGGATCAGTGTATCGTAAGAATCCATTCCTTAGGCACCTTTCACAGGCTTTCCCTTCCCTAGTGTGCTTCCTCCACATCTCGTATCTTAAGAGTCCCCGAGTGAACCCAGGAGTGCCTGGACAGGCCTAACTCCACAGTTCTGGCTAAACTATTGAGTCTCACCTCCCCGGCCTTGCCCTGGGTACTGACTAGCCAACTTTCTTTCCTCTCTCCCCTAGGGCCATAGAGGAGATCCCCTGATGTGTCAAGTTGAGGATTTCTGGGTCCTGGCAGGAGTGGTGAGCTGGGGATCAAATTGCATCCGAATCAATCAGCCTGGAATATATACAAATGTCAGTTTCTACAGGTCTTGGATTGATAAGTCAGCTATCTCATTTACTGGGCTTTCTGCTACACCCTATCTGGGCCTCTCTGGGCTCCTACCTAATATGCTTCTGCCTCTGTTTTTCCTGGGGCTGCTCTAACTGGCTGAGGTCAGTTAGGGTGAAAGGACAGTTGAGAATGAAGAAGAAAGGAAAAATTCCAGACTTGAGGATTTTGAAAAGAGATTTTAAAGAGTCAGCAAGACAGAAACAGTTCCAATGCCCCATAAGCCTAATCTGCTTGTCATCTTTTTTCCTCTAGTTCAACCTAGAAAGTAAGATCCCTAGAATGAATAAAATTGGTTAATGCTAACCATTAGTTCACATATTTATTCTTTTGATGAAAGTGGAAATAGAGCCTGGGAAAATATACAAACACAGAATTTCATGGCTGAAAGGAATCTACAAATCACCTGGCTCAACAAATTCCTACATTCTATAGGCAAAGAAGGTGAAATCCTAGCTTGGATGGAATCCAAAATGAAAACCATCCAACCTAGGGCTATATTGGGTTCTAAAAGAAAAGTGGGGACTGAGAAGACTAGAAGGTTTCAGATGAAACAGGCCAGGCCAGAGGACCCTAGGCAGTGTATTAGTTATCTATTGCTGTATGACAAATTACCCCCAAAATGGGTAGCTAAAAACAACAAACACTTATTATATTATCTCATAGTTTCTTTGAGTCAGTAGTCAGGAAGGGCTTAGCTGAGTAGTTACGGCTCAGGGTCTTTCGAAAGGCTGCTGCTAAGTCAGCCACAGTTATAGTCATCTTAAGGCTCAACTAGAAAAGGATCTATGCACTCAACGTAGGCCTCTCTGCAGGAAGGCATTATGGCAACTGGCTTCTCCCTGATTGTATAATCTAAGACAGAACAGGAGACAACACCCAAAATGGAAGCCACAGTCTTCATAACCTAGTCTCAGAACTGACATCTCATTGCTCCCTCTTGTACACTATTCATTAGTAATGAGTCAACAAGGTCTGGCTGTCAGGAGGCAAAGATCACTGGGGACCAGCTGAAAGGCTGCCTGCACAGGTGAGAGTAAGGGAAGAGTCTGGACCAAGGCACCAGGAAGTTAAGACTGACTGTGTTTAGTAGTTGTGGATTAAATAGAGGCAGAGGGTAGTTTAAATAGAGGTACATGCAGAAGAATTCCTTCTGAGTTTCCTGTTAATCCTACCCACCAAAAGCACCTTCTGAGTTTCCTGTTAATCCCACCCACCAAAAGCACTTCTTAGTTGTGTTCACAGGTGTGTTGGGGTTAGGAAATGTGTTTATTAGAGATATTTCTAATTTGCAATATGCTGTAATGAGACAGTACTCTAAGAACATGTTTCTTATAAGAAATATATGGCTGCCTTATTCTTATCCTTTTCCTGGGCCTCTGGTATACAAAGAGTGGTTAATAACATGGGATCTGACATTGGCCAGAGCTGAGTTAATTTGTAGATTTCATAAGATGCTGGTTAAAATAATAACAGTATGCTCATCTTAACTGACAAATAAGAGCAAAGATAAGGAAGGAGTTTGGGCAAGACAGTGGAATGAACATCCCTTGCTCAAACTTTATTAGATACCAATAAAATCATTGCTTGAAAATGACAATTTTCATCAATAATCACAAAATTATATAACAATAAATTAAATCTGAGCCATTAAAAAGCTTTTCATACATATTGAGAAAGTAGTTAAGAACTTTGAAAAAAGTTAATTCCAAAATGCAAAAAATTATCAATTATAAGCAGGATTCAAACAATGATTCCAATTTATTCTCAAAGGGACACTGTTCATATCAGTAACAACAGCATATTTGACATTGTGGAAAATGCTTCAGCAAAAATAAGGATAAATTCACTAAATAAGTGAAATGATAAGTAAGTAAAAAGATAAAAGAATGTGAAAAAAGATGATGGATCTAGACACAAGAGCCAAAAGATACAATAAGGGCATAAACAGAGGTTATAAAATCATATAATAAAATAATTGGAAGGGACTTTACAAATTATCTGATACTATTCCCAGCTCAAGGCATAAGTTCACTTTTTAATAGGCCCAATAGGTGATCTCTACACTTCTTAATAAAACAGCATTGAAAAACTACTCCTTGTTGAGAATGAGGTAATGAGGACTATTTCACACCCAAAACTCTTTCTCTGCTGTAACTCCTGCTGTCTCGGTGTATTGGCTGTTCCTTTTGAGCAGCAGGCAATGAACCTGGTTAGGTTGTAACATATACAAAAAATGAAAAATTAAAAAAAAAAGAGAGAAAAGTCAGATAACTATCTGTGTTCATTGAACCCTAGACTGTTGAGGGAGACAAGACACTGAGTTTGATGAATATAAACTTTGTATTTACTTAGAAAAATAGGTTCTGTTAAGGAGAAGCACTCTTTCACTCACTTTTAGTAAAGAGGGATATGTTATTCTAGCAAGTGAAATGCTCATGAAGATTAGCCACCTCCCTTTGTTCTAATTTTAAACCTCTTCAAACTGCCACCTACTTACTTACTAATTTGGCTTCCCTATTCATATTAAGTAGGGGTGCCCTGGTTGCAAAAAGTGAAAATTCCAAATAATGGAAATGAATAGCTCTCAGTAAGAATAAACATTCTGGTTCATACACAAGTCTTTTCAAATTTAGTGAGTCAGTCTCTTGAATTTGATCTATTCTAGGTCAAGCCCTGAATTCTAAAAAGCTAAGGGCCCAGAGCCCAGATTGATATGACTCAGTCAAGTTGCCTGTGAAAGACCTGCATGAGTGGATTCTCTGGGTAACATGACATCTTTATTTCATCTCTTAACTATAGCATGAACTCATATGTACTTTATGAGTCCTCTGTATTAGGTACTGTGCTGGTCACTTTAAATATTATCTTGTTTAATCTTAACAACTCAAGAATGTATTATTTAGCCCACATTTTCAAATGAAATAAATACAAGTGAGGCTCAAAGAGGTTAAGTAACTTGCCTATGAACACAGTTAATATTTAACAGATTCATCAAGGACTATCTAACTTTAAAATTTTGGCTTTCAAATTACCTCCATTTATTATTGGAAAGCTCTGTTAAAGGTTCTTTCCTATATTATCCCCAAATAACATTTGCCCCTTGGTCCTAGTTATTTGTACCTCTTATTGTACAAATAACTAGGACTAACTATTATTAGTCCTAACTAGTTACTGTACAAATAACTAGGACTAACTATTATTAACTAAGAGTTAATGATAACTCTTTTTTTTTTTTTTTTGAGACAGAGTCTCGCTTGTTGCCCAGGCTAGAGTGAGTGCCATGGCGTCAGCCTAGCTCACAGCAACCTCAAAATCCTGGGCTCAAGCAATCCTTCTGCCTCAGCCTCCAGAGTAGCTGGGACTACAGGCATGCACCACCATGACCGGCTAATTTTACATATATATATTAGTTGGCCAATTAATTTCTTTCTATTTATAGTAGAGACAGGGTCTCGCTCTTGCTCAGGCTGCTGTCGAACTCCTGACCTCGAGCAATCCACCTGCCTCGGCCTCCCAGAGTGCTAGGATTACAGGCGTGAGCCACTGCGCCCGGCCGATAACTCTTATTGTACCTCCTAGTCTCCATTTGTAGTTATTTGGGTACATATAACTTTAATTCTCCTTCTGAATATACCAGAACAGCCTTGAGGAAAGAAACCAATGGCCTATTCATCTTCTTGACCTTCAAGCAAAAAGTATCAAATCATGTTTTTGAATTAATAAAATGAGAACTATGGACTATAGAAAGCCAGCTGTCAAAACCATAAGGAAGAATTCCTTTAGTATGAGTAGAAGTGAATAAACATAGAAAGGAAAATATTTTTTCTTTTAGTTATCAAAAGAACAAGACCAACCCCCTTTATAGGTACTGGTTAAAGGACGTTAGGACCCCAGGCAAGTAGGATGGAGCTCAAACAGGATCAGTCCCTGTGGAGAAGATGAGTGCAAACCAGAGAAACCTACAGACTGGTCAGTAAGGCAAAGAGCCAGGGAGAAGATGAAGGTTGTCTCTAAAATGTTGTCCAGGGTTTGGCCCTGACATGCTAGATGCTAAGTACAGTCATGCATTGCTTAATGCCAGGGATTTGTTCTGATCAATGCATCATTGTGCAAACATCATAGAGTATACTTGTACAAACCTAGCTGGTATAGCCTACTACACACCTATGCTATATGGTACAGTCTATTGCTCTTAGTCTACAAATCTGCACAGCATATTATTGTAGTGAATACTGTATGTAGATAACTATAACACAGTGGTATTAATATTTGTGTTCTTAAATATATCTAAACATAGAAAAGATACAATAAAAATACAGCATAAAAGATTCTTAAAAAGATACACCTGTATAGGGCACTTACCAAGAATGGAGCTTGCAGGACTGGAAATTGCTCTGGGTGTGTCAGTGAGTGGTGGGTGAATGTGAATGCCTAGGACATTACTGTACACAACTGTGACTTTATACATACTGTACACTAAGGCTACACTAAATTTATTAAAAATTCTTTTTCAATAATAAACTTCAGCTTACTATAACTTTTTTACTTCATAAACTTTTAAATTTTTAAAATGTGTTTGATATTTATATAATAACACCTAGCTTAAAACACAAGCACATTGTACAGCTATACAAAACTATTTTTTCTTTATATTCTTATTCTATTAATATAAGCTCTTTTCTTTTTTTAAATTTTTTAACATTTTTAAATTTTTAAACTTTGTTTTAAAAACTAAGACACAAACAAACGTTAGCGTAGCCTAAAGAGTGTCAGGGTCATCAATATCACTGGCTTCCACCTTCACATCTTATCCCAGTGGGATGCTTTCAGGAGCAATAACAAGCATAGAGCTGTCATCTCCTATGATAACAATACCTTCTGGAATGCTTCCAGAAGGACCTGCCTGAGGCTACTTTTCAGTTAACTTAGGAGTACACACTAAAATAACAATAACAGTACAGTAAATACAGTAACATAGTCATTAATTATCAAGCATTATGAACTGTACATAATCATATATGCTACACTTTTATACAACTGGTAGTCCAGCAGGTTTGTTTATATTAATACCAGCAGCACCACAAATATATGAGTAATTCATTCCACTGTGACATTATGAAGGCTATCACATCACTAGGCGATAGGAATTTTTCAGCTCAATTATAATCTTATAGGACCACTTATTATATGCGGTCTGTTTCACTGACTAAACTGTCATTATGAGGTACATGACTTTATATGGACAAATTCTAGTAGCTATTGGTTAGTAAAACAAAAGAATGATAAGGATTTCTAGTCCAAATTCTAGAACTAAAACTAGACTGAGTGTTTTAGTAGAGGACATAGTGTTTTTGTTGCTGCAGAAGAACAAAAAAGGCAAAAGCCAAGGTCTGCTAGACAAATCAATTATTCTTTAGC